CAACAGTTGCTAAGTTCATAAGAAAAAATAAAACCAATATATATTCAAAAAAGTCGTTGCTAAACTTCATATGATTTATTAATGATTTTTGGATGTCGTAGACAATAGAAGGTACGAGATATTTCTGACAGAGCTATGGCACAGAATTGATTCAGCCCGCGGGGGGAACTCTCCATGTTCAAATAAGGTTAGACATTCAGCTGCTGTACAAGCCTAGAAATACTGAACTTCCATAGAAACGGTGTAAACAAACTTTAAAAACTGCGAGTATCCTTCAATTTTTCTCCGCTTCGTGGTAACGTCACTTCCAGACACGAAACTCAACTTTAACTAAATTAAAGCTTCATAACTAATACGTTATACCCATTTCTTATTTGTAAGATATATTCATTAAGGCTCATTCAAGTTTCAAGCGTACAACGGAGTACAATTAATTTTTTTTAGATCAGCGAATCTTTTTTTTTTTTTTTTTTTTTTTTTTAAACATTTTTTTTTTTTTTTTTTTTTTTTCTTTCTTAACATCCGAGTTTGTCATTTCTTAACTCTGTCATTGCTACCTGTTTATGACAAGATAGCCGGATATCGTTGTATATTAGGTAGGCCTAAAGTTAACACAATATAGCCTATCTTCCTTAAAGTCATAAATTATAAATACCACGCGTTCGACTGGACAACTGCTGCGAATAGAGTAGTTCCATCGACAATACTGAACCTTGTTTACAAATTCATTTCCATGTTGAAAATATGCTAATAAACTCCAAGGCGAGTTTTCTATCAAATCTTTCAACAAAACAACGACTTCTACTTCGGCATAAACTCTACATTTCTAAAACGTTTAAACAGTTCAAAAAGATTCAAACTTTTCTTTCTTTACATCGTATTTTCCTTCGCTAAATTTTACAAATAACTGTTTTGTTAACAATTTTGATTCAAGTTTTTGTTTAGTCTGTGAGAATGTTTTGCTCCACGCTTTTCGGTGTTATCAACTACCGCTTGGTTTTTGTTTGAAACATTCTAATGCTTAAAAAGATATTTTCTTTTACCGCTGTCATAACATATATTGGGTTGCCTGTGTCGCAGCACGCTATTACCTAATTTGGAAAAGGCCTCAATTTTGTTGATGTTACCCGGCTTTCTTTTGATATCTTGAGATATATTGGACTGCCTGTGTCAGCCATAGATTAATTATTGCCATATTTGGTGAAGGCGCCAATTTCGTTCCCAAAAGCCACCTACTCGTATGCGCATGCGCTAAAGGGGAGTCAAGATGACGTGGTCCGGGTTCGATTTTCTTTCTGACTCCGAGGGCTTTTCCAGCCCTCCGGTTTTTCTCACTCCTCTCAAACTGACCATAGCTAATTCAAATTGGTTAGAGATGAAGCGTCTTCTCATGCTTTCCGTTCGACTCCTTTGAGCTGCGCCACTGTTGTACTTTGAGTTTGTTATTAGCGATGACAACTGTCCAATAAAACAAACATGGCCGCTGAAAATAAAAACTTCGCATTCAACAAGAAAATTTCGACGTTTTCAGGGAAACTTATTTTAGCACAAACATTAGTAAAGTTCTATATATGACATAAGCAGCTTTTGAAACATGCAAAAGCGCTCATGAAAAGAGATTTCTTTTGCACATTTTTTAAAAATCTTATTCATTTTGTTTGTAAAGACCCCTGCCAGTAATAAATGAATGGTGCATTTTAGGGATAAAAGGTAAATCAATTAGCTTTAGGGATATCCGCAAATAGGCTTTTAGAAACAACTGTCTTGGTACTTAAGGCATTAAGAATAATCTTCTTAGAATCGTAAGGATAAGAGATAGATGAATACGTACGTTTTAGAGAACATTGATCAAAAAAGATCCTTTTAGCTTGCGCGTAATGTTTTCTCATTCCAGACCACGTTTTATTCTCTTGAGAATAAGATTCTTTGCTTGACTTGTATTTATATTTGTGTGTCTTGTCATGCGCAACCGTTAAACAAAGAAATGATATTCTAGTGAATGACACGTGGTCTGAAATGGGAAAACATTTCGCACGAGCAAGGAATAGGGATAACTTAACCTATTAGCCACCTCGAGGTTGCTTAAGGAATACGCTGGGACGAATTTGCATTGCAGTGCATTGTGGACTGTCTTAGGGGAGATATGGCCAATATATCTATTTAGTCCCCTAAGATAGTCTCGTAATGCTCTGTAGTATCACCTTCGTTTATTCATGCACGACCCGTGTTTAAATAAAAGTATTCTATTCTATTCTATTATATTCTACTCCACTCTGCTCTGCTCTGCTCTGCTCTGCTCTGCTCTGCTCTGCTCTGCTCTGCTCTGCTCTGCTCTGCTCTGCTCTGCTCTGCTCTGCTCTGCTCTGCTCT